ATGACCAGTAAGGGGATCTTAACCCTTGACTTGGTGTTGTCAGCACCACACTCTCCCAAGTGAGCTAACCGGCCATCCCTGTATAGGGATCCGAACCCGTGGCCTTGGTGTTATCAGCACCACACTCTCCCAAGTGAGCAAAGGTCAGCCCTTATCCCTTTCTTTTTTCATCCCTACTTCAGCTCCCTCTGACACCTGTCTCCTGGGAATAGTCTCATGGCTTTTGTCTGGATATCCCTAGCCCTGAACCCCAGTCCTACCACAAATCTTTTCCTTCTCTTCTATTTGACTAATCCTTTTGAAAATCAGGTGCAAGAGACTAGATAGAAAACACAGAACGGTTTGAGAGGCCCAAGAAATGGTAAACCACTTTAAAAATCAGTAGAAAGTACAGTCCAGGAGAAGAACAGAACAGTAGCCTCCCAAAGACAGAGCAGAAGAGAGAGACAGGGCATAGATGCCCCCACTTACCTGATCTTCAAAAAGACTCAACAAAGGACATGGACTGCAGAGCCCAGTGAGGGACTTTTATATAGTGCTTGGTCCAGCCCCTTGCAGGACTGACTGACCACGTGGGCAGGTCCTAACTGTGGAGTCACCACAACGAGCTTCCTCTGAAATTGCCGATGGTTTGAGTCACTGCTTGGGATGCCTGTTAATCAGACTGCATTTTGGCCTCTGGGTCCTCACCAGACCTCTGCAGGGAGGGGCTCCTCTCAGATCTCTCTCATCAGAGGCAACAGGAAAAGAATGTTCATAAAACGTTATCTCAGTCTGTTAAACCAGGGTTGGGAATCCTTGTCTGCCCAAACTGGTTCAGGAATGTGGTGAGAGATAAGATCCACCTTGTTCATCTCGTCCTCACTAAAGGCCTGGGTTTGTCTGGGTCAAGGGCTTGCATGGCCTGTTTCAGAGATTTGCACTGGATGCCTCTTCATCAAGCCTAGAAGTCGCACTTCCAGACCCAAGGAAAATGGCTTGTCTTGTGGTCCCAGTCAAGCAAAGGGCCTACAGCCTCCTTGAGAGAGTGGTTTTCTTGCATGGAGATCTTGAGAGAAATTGGAGTCATTTGTTTCTCTTGGATTGTGAAGTGGGTGGAGGGGAAGAGAGAAGGGGGAAAGGCAGGCAAACTTCCTCTTCTCAACCTTGATTTATGACTCCCTTCTGAAAGTGGAGTCACAGAGTGACCAGGAAAACAGGTTGGGACAAAGTTAGCCTGTCTCCTTGCCTTCTGGAAAACCTTTTCTTAGAAGTCAGGACAATAAAAACCAGGGGATGAAAGGAAAAGTTTCAAAGCAAACACACCCAGTTTTTTCTACCTCCAAGTTTTACCTGGGCTGTCACTTTTACCTGGCGTGCCCTCCCTCTCTGTGCCTGTTGAAATCCTAAGTATTCCTCAAAGCTCCTCTCAAGGCTCCCATCTTCCAAGAGCCTTTCCTGGCTAATCTATACTGGAAACGAATTCATCTCTTTTGAAGTCCCACAGCATCTATTGTTTGTGCTATTTATAGGACATTTACTATTGCTATTAGGAATACCAGTTGTATATGTACACAGTCTAATTATTCCCCTGGGTTGTGAATTCCTGGAGGGTAGGGGCTATGCCATAGGTACAGTAGGTGGGAGATGACGGAATGTAAATGGTTATTGATAGAGTGAACGCATTAAGGAGGAATGGAAACGGTGGATGTGGGAAGCAGCTGGGAGTAGAGGAAGATCTCATTTGATTGAAAATGGGAAAAGATTCATTATGAAAAAGCCCCTAGTCCGTAAAGTATTGATATTGTGTCTGCTCGCTAAAGTTGACCAAATTCTAGGGACTTTAAAAGTGATGACGTTCCTCCCCTTCCCAACTTGACGTTCAAGTCAAGCCCTTACCTTGAAGAGATAGGTTTAGGCCATTTCCTAAGAGAGGTATTTGGCCAAAATTAGAAATGCCTTCAGATGTTTATGTAGGTTTTGGATGCTTGGTACCTGAAAAGTTTTTAAAATATGAGTTGGGGGATACCAGGTGGCATTTTCGGCCTTTAAAACTGGTGGCCACCATCACGGGCCCCTTGGTTTCTGGTAGGAGACAGGTGGCCCAGTGGGGAGGCATTTGGAATACCTATGGGTGTATCTGAAGATCCCGTGGTCCCAAGCAAACAAAGGGCCTACAGCCTCCTGGACAGAGTGACTTTCAAAGCAAACACACCCAGTTTTTCCTACTAGAGGCTTCTTTCATAATGAATTTTTTGCCATTTTCAATTAAATGAGATCTTCCTCTACTCCCAGCTGCCTCCCACATCCACCCTCTCCGTTCCTCCATTAATGCATTCGCTCTGTCAATAATCATTTATTTTCCATTGGGTGTATCTGAAGAGACAAGGTTATTTGGGGAATCCGGGACCTGGGTGATCAGGTGTAAGATGTGAGGCTTTCCTCCTCCTTTTTCTTCTTTTTTTCCTTTTTTTTTTTTTGGGCTCCTGCCTCCATTTCTCCACTCCCTCTTTGTCTCTTTCATCTTTTCTGTGGAATGTTGTTTACGAGACAGAGCATCTCTCCTGTGTCCTAGGGGGCAAGGGATTTTCTCCATCACTGAGTTTATTCATTCATTCTTTCAGTCATTCATGGCCCTGCTTTTAAGAGGCTCACAGTTTCATGGAGAAGATGGGAAGAGGTAAGCCCCCACACTCCAGCAAAGGCCCTTCATTGCTCTTGGGTGGAAAATCATGGAAGGATTCTGGGGGAGGAGGTATCTGTGCTATGTCTCACTGGACAGTAGGAATTGCTCAGGCAAGGAGGGTGGGCAAGGGCATTCCAGGCAGCCTCGAAGGAGGCTGATGAAGTTCAGAGGTCAAAGTGAGACAAAAGGAGAGACTGAGACTGACTTAGCAAAGGGGTGGGTGAGAGATTGGGGGAGGAGGCTTGCTCAGTTGAGACTTCCAGAAGTTTCCTGCAACAAGATGTGTGAGATGACCTAGCTGATGCTGCACACTTTTCTGTGGCTTTGGTTGAGCCCGAGGACAAGGAGACTAAATAGGAATATGCAGAACGATGGAGAGACCAGATCATGTTCTTGTGGAGGGGGATGAACCCAGTTAGGCAGAGCCCAGAGTTCGACTCTTCTCAAAGGACTCCTTGGCTATCATTCAGTTGATTCATGACAGTGGAACATTCTTGAAATTGACCTTAAAGTCCTTCTGTGGTAGACAGAATAATGGCCTCCCAAAGATGGCCATAACCTAATCTCTAGAACTGGTGAATATGTTAGGTTATTGTGCAAAAGGAAAGTAAGGAAAGTAGGTGGCAGATGGAATCAAAGTTGTTAATCAGATGACCTCAAAATAGGGAGATTATCCTGGATTATCCGGGTGGAACCCACATAATCACAAGGGTCCTTAAAAGTGGAAAAGGGAGGAAAGGAGTCAGTGTCAGACTGATGTGATGTGAGAAAGACTTGACTGACCATTGCTGGCTTTGAAGACAGGAGTCCGTGACCCAGGAATGCAGGCAGCTTCTAGAAGCTGGAAAAGGCAAGGAAACAGATTCTTCCATAGAGCCTCCAGAAAGAAATGCGGCCTTGCTGGCACTTTGATTTTAGTGCAGTGAGACTGTGTCAGACTTCTGACCTCCAGATCTTTTAATGGATTTTTTGTTGTTTTAAGCCACTAAGTTTGTGGTAACTTGTGATAGCAGTGTTAGAAGACAC